AGCAGAAGGTGAAGATGAGTGCTGCTCCACGGCTCCCATCCAGTAGAACTCCGAGAGATGTTGATTTCAGAAAGATGCTACTTAGGTTATTATTTCTTTAAACAAATACAACAGATTTGAATAATGAGAAAGACTAGTTCTTAAACTAGTATTTAAGAAACACTAATCTTTACATGAAAATATAAAGCTCTGTTTTGTTAGCATTAGTGAATAGGAAATACATGTTTGCACAGTAGCGTCATGCTTTAATTGTTTAATCTTTTACCTCAGTTAATTTTTATTCTACATGATAATGGCTTAATGCAGTAGCCTAATTTAATAGTCACTTTTCACTGTTTATTTAAATTTTCTGTGATACTTATGTGGTTAAACTTTTATTAGTTTTGGCAGAAAGCATGCTAAGAACAGCTCTTCCAGAATTTTTTTTTTCCTGTCATATCTCATATTTTGCTGGTAGGGAGATTCCTTTGCTGAGGAATTGTAAACTTTGGTAGCAGTCAGAACCTTAGTTCAAATGGTAAACTGCCTCTGACCCAAGACTGTTTTGCATCTTGACAAGCAGTAAAGCTGAATATAAGAACAACTGTTTTCTGCATTTATTACTTATCTGACTTTTCAGAATGACTAGTTGGCAAAATTTCTCAGTTCTTTTGGCCGTTCCAGCCTCTTGTGGTGCCTCTAGGTGATGAAAAACCTCTGTGATACATTGATTATTGTTACTCACCTAACACTATGACACTTTACAAAGTGGTATTCCGGGCCATAAACTTTTACTTCTCTAGAAGCAGTGCAGTGCAAAACTGCTGACCAAAGATGCTGTTTGGTTCATGCAGCTTCCACATAGCTCCCAACTTCTGATGTGCAGTATCCTAACAGCTGTAGTTATATACAGTGTAATGAACATGCTATGTAAATGGTATTTAAATTTTCAGATAATTCTGTGCAAATTACCCAGTAAATTATCATTTTTTGTGTTCATTTTTCTAGAGGTACCTAGAGGGAGCTCATTAGAGGAGGTGCTATAAAGATACATAAAATAACTATATTCGGTGACTACACACCGAATGAAACAAAAATATCTTAAATATAGTCTTTTAGCATTGGAGGGTTGATTAAATATAAGGAGGTACGATTAAAGTTCTATACCAATTTATGCAAAATTACAAGTTAAATGTGTGCAAATTACTCTACAGAAAACAAAGAGTTCCTGCAAATGGACTACATGCTATTGAAGGCTAGCCGAAACAGCAACAATGTTTTTATCTTAGAGTGGAGTATTTTTTTTACATGTATGTTCTCAAATTAAAAGACTGCTTTCATTTGCTTTGATACAGGCACCTGAATCTCAGCTAAAACTCATCCTCCCTTCATAGACGAGAAGGGTAAAGGCACTTCCAGAGAACAATGTGTGGCACATTCTAGACAATAAGATCTTAAAATAAGATCATCTGCCTTGTGTAGGTACTTTTTTGTGTCAGCTGACTATAAGGGAAGCCTGCAAAGATTAACTCAGGCTTAGATGTCTAATTGGTAGTTGTCTCAATTTTAGACATGAATCCAACTTTTGTGTATTATTTATTCCAGTGACTGGTGGGATTTCAGTCAATTTTATTATACTGTAGCATTAAAATGAAATCTACATCCTCTATTACAGAAGAGGAATGCAGTCTACATCTATTTGATCTCTTCATTATCTAAGTCTGTACTGGTTTCGAGGATGGAACGAGCATGTGAGAAGTTACAGCAAAGCAGCTACTAAAATTCATGAAGACTGAAATAACTGAGAAATGCAGTGTTGGCTTTAAACAGCAATCATCGCTGTGCCTTCAAACAGAGCTGCAGCAGTGATCTACTCTGGTACAGCAGAATTTCACCATGGCAGCTGACATTCAGACCTACTGCAACAGTAAACGGACAAGAAGCGAACTTTCCTATAGGACTGAAAAACGGGGGGGGCAGGAAGGGAGGGATGGATGGATGGATGGATGGATGGATGGATGGATGGATGGATGGATGGATGGATGGATGGATCATGAAACTTGTCACATGGACATATTTGGCAGTTGGGTCCCATTACTGCTCCACTGTTTCAAAATCGGGAGGGCGGGGCTTTTTTGTTTAAGTGTGAACATACATTTCTACTACACATTACAAAATACACAAAAGACAAATCAGTCAGTGCAAACAGGCAAGTCCTGCAAAAGAACCTTTGGCCCTCTGAATCCAACCACTTTCCGATCTGCTGGGGAATTCCTTTTTCTTAAGTACTTCCCCATTTAATGAAAAAGCAGCTGACGCATGTGTGTCTCAGTGTTAAATTTTGATCAGATACAGCTAAAGCCTCTATGGTTTCAGACCAATCCAGTTGAGTTATTGTGCAAGATTGCCTCCTGGTGGTAGCACCGAGAATCTGCAGAACAGCCTAATTAGCACATAGAAGACAAAAACATGTTTTAAAAGCATGCTACCTTTTTTAATTCAGGTCTAACTAGATGAATTCCAAGAACTTTATTTTCTCTAGGACATCAGGATAAATTGAACTGTGATTTCATTGGTCTGAATGGAGGACAATTTTTTTGATACTTAACTGAAATGGAGTTTTCTTAACAGCATGCTAGCAAGCAAAGCCTAAGAAGACTTTTAGTGAGACATTTAAAAAAATCATTAAGATGCACCCAGCTGTACAGCATCCACAGCAATGAGCTTAATCAGGTCTGAAGCACTTAACTACTAGATACAAAGCAAATGGCCAAGTGCCTGAAATCGGATACAAAGACACCAGAGCAGACTTAACATATTCTATGCAACTAAAGTTTTCAATTACAAACAAGAGCAACAGAAAACAGAAATCCCAAACTAACTTTCAGATGGATTATTCTCTTGCATAGAACTGGGACAAGAATCAAATAGATGGATTTCTAATTCCAGGTTCTCAACTGAAGAGCAGCAGATAAAGACAGCTTTATGTATTTGTTCAAGACCTAGAAAATCAGGACAGCTTGGAATTACTGATAGTAGTATTTTAATTAGGTCATGCTTCAGATGACCCAGGAGAAAGATTTAGTAGAAGAGAAAATAGCAAGATTGAGGGTGTCAGTATAATGCAGGGAACGATTTTAAAATACTAACTTCATGAGTTAACAACAAAATGGCAGAGGGTACATGTAGTGAACATGTGTTTTAGACTCAGTTTCCAGTAACTGGTCAGAAGAGGAAGTACTGTAAAGATAGCTGTCCAGCACATCATAGATTTTTTTTTTTAGCCCTCAAAATGCCTGAAAAGCATCCAGAAATGTTTGGAAAATCCAACATTTCTACAGTGATTGTGAATGTTTGACCATAAACAGGGTTTGACAGGCAAGAACAGAAGGTTTCCTTAAAGCAAAATGTCATAACAGTATTAGGCAGAAATTAGCAAAGTTATCAAGGAGAAGAAGAGGGGAAATTAATAGAAAGTTTAACTTAATCCAGTGGTATCTTTTCTTACACTGGTGTACAATCAAACTGTGACAAATTAGGTCTCAGCTTTCCAAAAATAAAGGAGGCTCGATTTTCTGCAGCAGAACATAAAACAACTACACATGAGATGCAAGCTTCTTGCTTATGGACCAGTGTCAGTAGCAGGCACCATGAATCAATGAATACTAAGATATGTTGTACTACAAATTACTAAAAACTGTTTAAAAAGTTATATTCTAGGCAGAAAATAATTATTTTCATGTGATTGAACTTGGCAGAGCAAGCAGCGATCCTTTTCACAGACACAACAGACATTCCTTCATGACAGCATGTTATCATGCAAGCAACACATCATATAATATGGAGCCAAAATCATTTGGTTGCTGTAGGCTTAACCATGGACTCATATCTTAACAGTGTAACAGAGAGAATAAGCAAAATGATTTCATGCTCTGCCATGATAAACTATTATGGGCTGACTGGCATTCGGATTTAAAAATGCGTTTTTAAAAAATTAATACCAAGATAAATTCTTAAGACTAGCTTTATGTAAAATTTTCCAGAAGTATTTAAAGGCAGTCTTTTTACATGCCTCCAACATTAATGTTTTCACAATTAAAGGAAATTCAAGGAAAAAAGTTTATTTAGTAATAACTTTAGAAAAGTAAGTGTCCTTTATACTAATGGTGACCAGGATTAGAGACTTCACATGGTACTCCACTTGTACCAAAATCCATAGATAACACGTGCTGGCAAGATGACACTAGACTAACAAGAAACATGAACCTTCCCATCTTATCAAAGTTGCTTTGGAAAGGAAATACAATCAAAATGTATGACACGAGATAATTATTTTCTGATTATTTATAAGGATCTGCTAAGACTGCTTAATGAAGTCACTGGGATCTCTTCAGAGGCACAATGTTCCAAGCTAGAGTTTTCTATCAGAAGGCTGATGACTAAAACTACAGATTAAATAATCTCCTTTTCCTGAGAAAAAAAATGCTATGTGACATAGAATATTATAAGATCAGAAACATTTAAGCTCTATAAAGCACTAAAGCTATGAAGTAGAAAAGCCAAATGCCTTCAAAGCATTTTATTATATAAAGGGCCAATCCTTTCCCCTGGGCAAGCTAGAAAGAGCTGGGAGTCTTCACCAATTGCCCTGCAGCAGCAGAGAACTCTCCTCCCCTGAGCTACAGCTATTCCAATTTATATACAGACATAGCATCCTCACTAAATGGTAGCTGGGGTGGGGTTTTAAAAAAAACAAAACAACAAACCCCACAAACCACAAATGCACACAGAAGTTCTCAGCTATTTGGAAATGCTGCGTCATTTAGATGGGTGAGTTATTATGCTTTGGAAGCTAAAATTTAACCAGGTTGGCCAGTTTTCAGTACATGACAATAGCCTTAAATACAACCACTTGGCTGATGTAAAATTTGATTCCATGTTTAATCCTACAAGTGTAACAGAAGAAGCACAACTATTTCATTGTTTTCATAAATACCTCATAATATTTTTAATCAGTACTATTTCATAAATACCTCAGTATTCAAGCTCACCTGCATTTCCATTACTGGATTTCTTAAAAAAAAAATAAAAAATATCCCCCCAAATAACACCAGGCCCCAACGTGCCCTGTTCTAGACTTCCCATTTTGACATAAGACTTCTATGCATTCAGTTTACCAACGATAAGCCCCTGATCAAGTTCAATTGGAGCACTCCCATCACCTGCTACATCCAGTCTTGAGACTGGCACATTCACTGATCATGCATGTGTAACAGCCTTCACTGGATCCTTGTTCCAGTTGGGCAGTTTTGTTATTTTTCTGTCAACTAGTTGAAGTAGAAAATAACAGTCAAGTTTACTTAAGCATCTTTTAGTTATAGTACTCACACAGAATTGCCAAACATCTTACTTTCTGTAATTTTTATTTCTAGTAAAGATTAATAGAAAAGTGCTGATGAACAACAAGTTATCTTAATTATCTGTCTTTGGGAGGATTAGGATTCTTGCGTCTTCTATGATACCTAGAAGAAAAAAGACTGAGATGAATGCAAGCTTTGGAGAGTCTTTGATTCTCCTGATATTTTTTCCCCCTAGTGACTGCTCTGGAGGTTACACAAGTAAGCAAAATACAAGATACACAAGCACAACCCATCACCACTCATTAGATGTCATTGCTGTTGTTCATGGAGTTACATAACCCTACTCATTTCTATTGCTACATCTGATACAAGCATGCAATAATCTAATCAGTTCTACAGCTGAATAAGTACAAGGGCTGTTGTTTATTCTTAATCCTTTGTGTGAAGTTAACTTTATTACATGGTCAGCTTTTCCTTTGGCTAAAATGATTGCTAAGAAAAAGAGAGTTGATGTTTAAAGGAGTTATGCCAGACTGTACATTCAATAGTGTAATATTTTGCAGACAAACTAACAAACTCTTTACAACAAAAATGATCCCTACTTTCCTCTTACTAAACTAAAACAATGAAGATCCTGTTTGGTGCTCATTAAAGTGACAGCTACCCTTTGGCCATAGAAAGTTCTATCATTTCATTCCTTTTACCTACTCCCAAAACACAATAATTAAGAAGTTTTCTGTGGACAAAAAAAAAAAAAAATCTGCCTGTATAAAGTCTCCATTAGTAGCTAGCAACAGGTGTAGTTTCCAGTGCAAATATCTGAATGTATGTTGTTCCTCTTTAAGCTCGGTCACCCATATTAGCACCTCTCCTCCTCCTAGCTTTCTGAGTACAAGGCACATCAAGGTGCACTTCTCACCATTTGAAATAAAAATTATCTATTATTCTTAAGCCTGAGAATCTTCCCCTTTTTTTCTGAAAAGTTATTAAGGAATAGACAATGCACGTTTCCAAGCTCATTTGGTTATGTCCATTGAGGGTGTTTTACATGCTAGATTCTCTTATGCAACCTTAATGAATCACCTGAACCAGTAGCTAACTAGATGAGAAATTTCTACACTGTGACATATTTTACCCCCCAAAAAAGTTGCAAAGGCTACCAAAGGGGCAGTGTTAAAAAACCTTATGAAATACAGTCTTCCACTTACACAACATTACATTTAAGATTTTATGTAGTAGCCCAAGTGCTAATACTACCTTGTCTCACATGACCTACCCTAGGTTCAATCTGGTCATTGAATTATTCCAGTATTTCTCTTTACCTCCAAAAGGAATAAGTATTGAAAAGACAAGACTTACTGTCCCACAGGATACCAACGATGTTTTGTTGTGTAAAACATTTTGCTGAGCTCTTCAATTGTGGGATCGCTAGTGTTCTTTAGCTCTTTTTCATTCAGTCTGGATTTCAAAACTTGGTCAAGGGTTTCTTCTTTATTATTCACTGGATCTGGCCGTGGTATGGGCTATAAAGACAGTAGTGTATGTATTTCTTTTTTCTCCTTTTTTTGAGAGAATTAAAAAAATCTACATAGATAGCATTACAATTTATTCTTATCAGGCTGAAACCAAAGGAATACAAAAGAATACCTGTAATTGTAAAGGCTGTTTATCACACACACCCCTCCATCCCCACCCCCAAGAAACCCACACCACTGTGGAGCAGACCTCTAGAAACCTCTAATTACCCCAGGTGTTGACAGCTGATTACCCTACCCCTAAAATCAGCACTGCTGTCATCATTACTGCTGATCTCATCCTTACAGTTAACCAGCTGAATCATAAGCTTCAGTTCTACCAATACAAAAGTACTTGTATTATTCCTATTTACAGATTCATTCATAGTGACAAACATCATCACTAAAAAAGCTTTTAGATGATCTGTGCCTTGGAGAAGAATGTCACTTCCTAATTGTTTGTGCATCCGCTAAGGCTAAGACATTTGTTCTCAACCTGAAACCTAACTACTAGCAGCGTTACAAATATTTTTCCTTAGTCTTTTACATCCTGAGACATGCAACTGATAAATTTTAAAACACCAAAAGGTAATTTGCAGGCAAAGAGTGCTAAAATGTTTTAAATTTTCAATGCAGAATTTTCACATTGGCTATTTCAGCAACATAGCTACCATTTGCAGAATTTTACTAGCATGTGAAACTTAACTTTTCTAGTGTACACTTTTGTTTCATCTAGACTTACTTTCATCAGTATAAAGAACACATTGAAAGTACTACAGATAGATAAAAATTCAATATTTAAAGTCTTTTGCAGCATTTATGAACCCAAAGCACCGAATGGAATTTAAAGCTTGAGTTGAAAACAGCAGGAGCAGCATTTCTTAATACCCTCTTGCCCACACTGCTCCATCTGTACACAGCAGTACATGTGAACTATAACCAGCACTTCAAACTTCCTGAGTACGCTCATAGACAGACAGTAGTTTTCTCTGTAGCGCACAAGTATTTGAGTGCCTCATTTAATTCTATTTGAGTCACCATATGCTGCGATATCTGAGCATCTCCTACTCTGCAGCTTTCCCTCAATTCAACTAAGAATAAGGTCCTCCTCACGGCAGCAGCTATATGCATCATTCTCTTAATTCACAGACATGGTGAGCACATACTAAAAAGTACCTCAGTATTTCAAATTAATTTTGAGTCTTTAGGGCATCTTTTATGAACTACTTATGCCTTTACAAAAGTAAGAAATAAAAATGTGTACATTTGGACATACTTTTGTATGCTCGTATGGAATCTCAAGCGAAGGGTGGTAGCAGACAATTGTCTTCAAATCTGATGTCACTGCAAGTTCCACTTTGCTATAAAAATAAAAACTTAGACTCTTAAACATATCCTTTGCTCAGCATTTCTGCAAATTTTAACTGAGCAGCCTGAGTGCCAGAGAAAATCAGATTTGACCCTGAATTTATGAATTCTTAACAATCTCCTATAAAATAAACCCTTATAAAATAAGGGCCACAAATACTTCACCTGAACCTCTTTTTTTTTTTTTTCCCCCAGCCATCTTCATGGGGGTTTTTTGGATGGAGAGGAAAAAAGTGCTAAAAGAAAGTACTAAAGATAGCTGGAAATATGGGTTGGAAAAAATGTTTAACACTTTGAATAGCTGCACATAAATCTGTAGCAACAGATGGGGATAATGATCTCTAGGACAACATGCCTTTATAAGTAGTACTGCACCTACAAAAGAAAGAGTAGGAAACAAAGCTCTGTTTGGGGTTCCAGCTTTAATATTTGGTAAAAGATTATGGACATGATGAACAAAAAGTCCTACTGAGAGTCTCCTTGAGGGAGTATGACTATTCTCACCTTTCTTCCTTATTAACTTCCATGACACATTGGCTTCCTAAACCTTATATAAATGACGTGGATGCTGCATTTCTCACTATATTTGTATCATCTTTTCCAGTTTCTACTCAAGTTCCCCATGCAGCAGCACAAAAATACCTGGAGTTTGTCTTAACAATAAGCACCAAATGAAAATGACTGCTCTTAGCTACTTCTGCTCTTCCACAAACAAAACTGCAGGGGTTCTGGGGTCATCACCACATTTATAAGGATTCCTGTGTGAGTTTTCATTATATTAATTGTTTTAAATACTAACTTCACAATTGTTATGATCGGAAACATTACTTTAGTTAAAATTACTGCATATATCCAAAACTGGCAGATGTATTTGATACCATTATATAACAACTTCACAACAGAGAAAGCAAGCATGTTTAAATACCAATTGTAGTCTTCAGGGAGGACTGAGAATGTGGATTTATGGCAAGCACGATCCACAGCTCCATCTGCAAAACACACACGTAAAGAACACTAATGTAAAAACAGAGCTGTGACAAATTTAAGAATGTTTACTTTTTTATTACATTCCTTCTTAATTGGGGATTATAATCACATGGGTTTAGATTAAAAAAACCCCAAACACTGTCTGAATAGAAATTCACTTTACTACACAGATTACTAGTGCAATTAAAGGTAGCTAGGGAGCTATGGCCTACATTTCCAACTGTATTGTGTTCCTAAGAAAAAACACAGCATGAACAAAATACCTATATATTTCACCATAGAGCATATTCTTTATATATGCAAAGAACATTACCTTATGACTTAGAGGAAAGACCATAATTTCATTCATAGCAGTAATTATTACAAAAATCAAATTTTTACTTCACTAGCAACTGCTCTGTATGCGATACAAAACACAAAACTGTAACATCTTGGCTGCTATAACACTAAAGAACTTTAACCCTTTCCCCGGGTTCCTGTTGCTGCAAGGAAAGCAATCACATGAACTGCAAGTAGTAAAGGCAGCCAACAGCATCCGGGACTAATGTACTAACTGGACTGAGAGAAGAGATTATCTCCCTCTATTCAGCGTCTGTTAAACCACATCTAGATACTATGGCCAGTTTGGGGCCCTTTAATAAAAGATAAACTTGAATGAGTTCAGTGAAGGCCTGCCAAGATAGTCAGGGGCTGCAGCACCTGCCCTGTGGTGAGAGGCTGAGGGAATGGGGCTGTGGCTCAGCCTGGAGCAGGGACACCTTTGGGGAGACCTAACAGCAGCCCCCACTGACTGAGGACTGGGATTATCAGAGGAAGCCAGTCTAGTCACAGTGATGCATGGTGGGAGGATATGAAACAACACCCATAAATTGAAATGAGAGGCTCTGACTGAATATGTAGAGAAACGTTTTCCTCATGGGGACAGCCAAGCAGCAGGACTGGGGCCCAGGCAGGCGTGTCCTCGGAGATTTCAAAGACACAGCAGAACAAAGCCCCAAGTGACCTGGTGTAACTGCAGAGCTGAGCCTGCTTTGAGCACGAGGTTGGACCACAGACCACCTAAAGTCACTTCCAACTGAGTTTTCCCATGATTCCATTTGCATTTTTTCACAGAATCATTTAGGTTGGAAAAGACCTTTAAGATCATCAAGTCCAACTGTAAACCTAACATAAGGTGTTAAAAATGTAGGAGCCATACCATGGCCATCTTGTCTTCCACAAGTGTCTAGGCATGCGTGCCTAAGATGAGCCCTGTACCTGACTTTTACTGGCAAACCTCTTCCTTTACGACTGGAACATGACACAAATCAACATGTAGGTTTGAGTCCTGTGAAGCTTCTACCACTACACTTTAAGAACTGAATTACAATCACTAGAACGAAGTCTTAGCATGTTCTGAGCCCTCTGTTTTCAAATAAGCCATAAAAGGTTTTCAACTTTTTTTCTGACATGTTATTTCATGTAGACCATCTTTAGTTTTAAAACAAATAGGATTCTTCACTGCTGTTTATAATGGAGGGGGAGAATATTCAGTGTGTCAAAACTGGGAAAGCTGAAAGAAGCAAGAAGAAACTTCTGTAGCTATTTTCCTCTCAGAAATATTTTAGATACACAATTTTTAAATTTATAATTTGTTAGCACTTACATGCTTCAGTTCTTCCAGTTAAATCATTCTTGTAATTAACAAGTTGAGTTCTCATAAAATATTACTGCAAATAGTTCACATTTCTTTCTCCTGGCCCATTAACCTCTAAGATGTAACATGTCCATTATATTTTCTCAATTCCTGTCTTTTCTACCACCTTTACTACCTCCTCTACATCTTTCTACTGTCATCTAAAACATGGACAAAAGTCTAAGAAATAATATTGCCTGTTTTCATTTGTAATGAAGTAATCAAGTAATGTGATTTTACTGTACCTTTTTCTCACCGCTCTTGTAAGTCTGAAAAATAAATTTAAATCTTCAAATATAATTGGTGGTAAAAGGGGTGGTATTTACAACCTAAATAATAGAGGAACATCATATGTGAACCAGAGAAGCTTTAAAAGAGTAAAAAAAAACCCAAATTGAGCTATCCTTTAATTATTAGCAGAGAACATGGAATATCAAACCTCATTCTGTTCAAATAAAAATTCACTTCCATGCTTCATGTTACTTCAAACATCACAGGAAAGAGGCTCTCAAAGAACAGATTTTAATACAGGACCTCTACAATTCCATCACTACTTACTCTGCAGCAGGGCCTGCTTCCAGGTTGCTACTGAACGCATCCAAAAGAAGCTGGACCACACAGTCCTAAGTGATGTTGCCATGATGACAGCAGAGAGGAAACCAGTCCTGGACAAGATGGAACTCAAACAAACACCGAATCCTTTTTTGTCTGCAGAACACACTCTGAAAGAAACCGGTTTCATAACTGGTCAGGGTATAAAAGACTGACAACTTAATTTCTTGAACACCTTAAGGATAACTAAAATTTGTGCAGTATATTCTTCATTATTTGTCAGTTGTTTAGAAGTCTTTATTATTTAACATACTGGCACCTACCTCCTTAATAGCCATATGTGGTACAAGACTTTATTTACTGAAAGGTAGTCTTTGAAGGTACATCATTAACTAAGTTTCCAAGCTTGAGTCTTCTCATAGTTTTTCTACTGGCATTCACCCACATAAGTTTTGCACCCTTCCTTCTGTGCGCTCCATTGAATTATTCCTGAAACATGTTTTTCTTGTTCATGACGTAAATATCATAGCCCAGTATAAAACCAGAAGTACTTATAAAAAACATTTGCTGTAACAAACTGTCTAGATGCAGTTTGTTTCATCTATCTCAAAAGCAATACACCTAAAAGGTACAAAACACCATTTAGAATACCTGAAACATTACTACAAATTTCACAGAAGCAGGACACACACCAACATCTTAAGCTTTCATTGTCTACAGGAAAAAAAAATTGCTTCAAAGTGAAACTTATGTACTTTTAAGGATCATTATAAGTGGAGACAGTTTAGAGACATACTCACAAAAAAAACCAAAACAAGACCTC